AGAAGGCTGAGGCGGAAGAATTGCCGGAGCCCAGCAGGTCGAGGCTGCGGTGGCCGGGAGTGGCCACTGCACTCCAGTCTGGGTGACAGAGTAAGACTCCAACTCAAAAAAACCCCAAAAAACAAACAAACAAGAAAACTCATACAAAATGCAAATTTATTTCTGATTTAATTAACAAACTAGCTTTAACTAGACTATCTGACAGAAATCATTAGGGCTCAGAGAAAATGAATTCATGTCATCAAGCATGGGTTTATTTTGATAGTACAGAGGATGGGGTAGAGATCAGAACATAGATATCAAATGTATTACTGTAGGTTTGTACATTTTTACAATTTCAAGTCTGTTAGCTGCTGGGACTGTGGTATCAGTGGAGAAAAAGGGCAGTAATAGATGTTGATAGTGATTCTACCATTGTGCCTGAAGACAAATAGGTCACCCTAAATCTTGCTTCTGTACAGCAGTGGTTGAAGAACAGGGTTAAGCCCACAAGACTCTTAGAGGGGCTAGAGTTTATTAATAAGTGATACCTCCAGATGTAGAATACAGGATCCTTTCTGATTTTTTGTATACCTGTTAAATATCAGGCCAATGCCAAGGCCTAATAAGAATTTCTGTAGAGAAAGTATTGGTTCTGGAAACTTTTTTGTTTTTTTTTGAGTTGGAGTCTCACTCTGTCGTCCAGACTGGAGGGCAGTGGCTGCTCCCGGCCACCACAGCCTCGACCCGCTGGGCTCCCGCGATCCTTCCGCCTCAGCCTTCCGAGTAGCCGGAATTACAGGCACGTGCTACCACGTCTGGCTAATTTTTAATTTTATTTTATTTATTGTAGAGATGAGGTCTCGCCAAGTTGCCCAGGTAGGTCTCGAACCCACGGGCTCAGGCAATCCACTCACCTCAGCCTCCCAAAGTGCTGGGATTACAGGCTGAGCCACCGAGCCCGGCTGGTTCTGGAAACTTTTAAAGCAGCATATCTAATTTCACTTCTGCAGAATTTACCTGTAGCCTTTAGCCTGGGTTTAGGCATTTTCTTTTCTTTTCTCTCAGGTTTGGACTTCTTAACCATCTTTTTGTTTTTCTTTTTTGAACTGCCGTAGTCACTATCATCGTCATCTTCCATTAGGAAATCTTCATCACTGCCGGAATCTTCTGAGAGGAAAGAACAATTTCAATGGCCAACTTAGTGTACACATCCTTCCAAGTGAACAAAGGAAGAGAATGCTGAGAACAACTGGAGGATGGGATTTGGGAGTCAAATATGCTTGGATTCTATCTGCAGCTGTACTATCAAGTTGATTAGAGTTGTTACTGGCTTCATCTGTAAAATAAATTTAGCATGCACCTCACATGGGAGCTACATGACTGCCTTGTCTGAAGAGTAGGTTGAAAACAGAAAGGGCAAGACTTAATCTGAATGAAAACTAAAACCATCAAACAACTTTTGGTAGTTCCAGCATTCCCATGTTGAGAACTGGTTGAGAAAAGGGAAAGTAAATGGAACTGACCTGGTATTTTCGGTCCAACTATGAATAAATGAAACAAGAAAACTACACACAAAACAAAAGTACATATACTTAACAAATCTGAATAACATGTGATGGATCCACATTTTATTATTAATATTTTTTGTGGGGGAGGCGGTCTACTACTTCCTCCGCCAAGCCAAAATATGAATCTCAGCCACAATGCCCAACGTGAACAGTTACTTTAACAAATGATCATTCAGTGCTTAGACACAAACATCATTAAATAAAAAGTACAACCATTATAGATAGTAAGCAATCATGAGAATCTTTGAACCCTTAAAAACATAAATGAGTACTAACACTGCCATCTCTTTTATTTATTTATTTTTTTTGAGTTGGAGTCTCACTCTGTCACCCAGACTGGAGTGCAGTGGCCGCTCCTGGCCACCACAGCCTCGGCCTGCTGGGCTCCGGCAATCCTTCCGCCTCAGCCTTCCGAGTAGCTGGAATTACAGGCGCGCGCTACCACGCCCGGCTAATTTTTTGATTTTATCATAGAGATGAGGTCTCGCTGCCCAGGCGGGTCTCGAACCCGCAGGCTCAGGCAATCCACTCACCTCAGCCTCCCAAAGGCGCGGGATTACAGGCTGAGCCACCGAGCCCGGCCATCTCTTTTAATTTAAAGGATTGGTTGTAACATTTAGCATCCTAGAAAATGCCAAAGTAATCAAGGTCACAAACTCCAATTACAACCGAATGACCAAAGTACACAAACCAACTTCATTTCACATACTCTCCTGGAACGGTGCCTCATCCTCTTCTTCTTGTTCTTCCTCACTGCCCACATCTTCCATGAGCATCTCTCTCTGTTTAGAAGCTGCTTTAGATGCCGCCTGCCGCTGCTGGCGTACATTTTTATGATCTTCTTTTTCATCTTCGCTGTCCTCTGAAATAATGAAGTTATTATCATGACACAATAATCAAAGAATTTTATACTTGACAGCTTACTGCAAAAGCCAACACAGCGGCCAATAAGAAATATAAGCTGAAGCTTTATTTTATTCTAAAAGGGCAAATACTACCCTTAAAAATTTCTACAAAATATATAAGAATTAACTTTAACAAGATTAAGTGCCACTATTACATATAAAATAATGTAGGCACGTAGTTTTAAGCAGGAACAGCTAAATTAAAGTATGTGAATACATGCTCCCTATAATATACCTTAAAGTTATATTATTGCCCTAAAATGCTCAACTACATTTAGCATCCTAGAAAATGCCAAAGTAATCAAGGTCACAAACTCCAATTACAACCAAATGACCAAGTTGGTCATTTGGTTGGAATTTTTAGAAGCAAAAGTTTTAGAAGCAAAAGTCAGAAAAATATTTTAACACAGTATGAGAGGGGAAGAATGTCTTCCAATAACCTTTATTCTAAGATATAAAACACGTAAACTCTAAAACAATGTCAAACTACCCTTTACAACGCACAGCTTGTGACCATTTCAATTTAGAGGGGATTGAGGAATAGCTTTAAAACATATATTTAGATCAATTAGCTAAAGCCCTTTGGACAAAGCTTATTAAAAATTTACTTTCACAGATTATGGTCTATTAATTTAAAACATTTTCAACACACAGTTGTGTCTGTCTATAAATCTGGGTAAAGGGTAGGCTGCCAGCCTACTGGCACCAGACTATGCTCTATTTGTGTTAGTCTTTGCCAACAGCCCTTTCCCTGGACTTGCAGGCCTCCTTGTTCTGTTTGGGGTTAACTCTCACTCTTCTGAGAACACTCCTAGTCCTATGACCCTTGTCAGGTCAGGTTTCAAGTCACCTTTTTCAATTCCAAAAACCTCACCTAGAGACAGAGAATAAAACTGGCCATGGCAGACCTAAAACTAAACCCACCTGGTAGGAGCTTAGCTTAATACTAATACAGAGTTATTCATCTGTAAGTGCTCAATAAACTAATAAATTTAAAAGATTCAAATAAGGGTTTACAAGGCAAATGAATGAAAGTGTGCATTATGTTATCAAAAGATCACTGGATAGTGCAAAAGGTTAATATAGTTTTCTTTCAACTTAGGCAGTCAGAGAACTTGAAGAGGATAGAAAGCAAAACAGCCAAGTAGAGTGAATGTAGCGGAACCTTGCCTATTCCCTTTATATTAGTTAAATAGCAGTCTCATTTCAAAGGAGATCAGGGAAACAATAGCAAGGGAATGCAGGTCAAAACTAAAGTGGCTGGAAATAATACGAACTAAAATTCTCAATTCTTAAGGAGTTAAATTTAAAAATAAATACAAACAAGTAAAGCCACTGGGATTGAACATTTTATTTGGCCATTGAGACTTCACCAATTCATGCTATTATTATTTTTAAAATTTTTACAAAAAAGTTTTCTTTATGTCTTTATTTTTCTTTCTTTCTTTTTTTGTTTTTGAGGCAGAGTCTCACTGTCACCCAGGCTGGAGTGCAGTGGCACATTGCTCATGGCCACTGCGACCTCAACCTGATGGGTTCTAGCAATCCTTCCGCCTCAGCCTTCCAAGTAGCTGGAACTACAGGCACACATCACCATGTCTGACTAATTTCTTCATTTATTGTAGAGATGAGGTCTTGCCAAGTCACCCAGGTTGGTCTCCAATCCTGGGCTCAGGCAGTCCTCTTGCCTCTGCTCCCAAAGTGCTGGGATTACAGGCGTGAGGTACCACACGCAGCTCTTTATGGCTTTCAAAAGACTATGGCCCAGCTACAAAGAGCAGGAATGAAACTAACCCTCATCTGCTTTTCAACTCAGAGTCAATTACTCTCCCTTTTTATACCTCTATTTCACCTAGTATTATATTTATATATTATTCTATTTAGTTTAATGTATTTATTAGTTGGTGTAAATGTTTTTCAATCTTGACTATGCATGAGATTACTGTGTAGATACTTAAAACCATCCCCAATATCCTACCTAGATTTATTTAATAGAAATCTGGGGGTAGGACCCAGAATATGCATTTTAAAAAAGATTTATAGATAACTGTAATAAGCCACCAGGATTGAAAATCATTACTAGCTCTTCGAAGATGGAAACATCTTTGTAATTCCAGATATGCAACAGAGCATGGCATATAAAATTGCTTATTAAAATGTTTAACGAATAAATAAAGAATTATACCTATCACATTAAAAATGTTTACTACCTGCTGAGTGAGAATCATCCTTCTTGGTCTTCACATCTTTTTCTTCTGAGTCCTCGCTACAAGGGGAAGGCGGAGACGAAAAAGTAAATGCTTGTTTTGAAAGTCCTAGATCAAAATCTAAATGAACACAGATCTGACTTGAGAACCACTGAAAAATACTTCCCTTATATATATAATATGTTCAAGTAGATGGTGAGGAGTAAAACTGCTTTCACTGTCTCCTTACTTTACAGAGATGCTGGTGAATAAGCACAATTTTATCTACTTTGGAAAATAGTGCTTCTAAAGACCCAGAAGAGAAAAAAAGCAGTTACCTCAACACAGGCTAAAATTTCTCACTTATGGATAAGGCTTGGTTCACAAGAATATTTAATAGGAAAAAATCTTCTATGGATAGAGGCAGAGTATAAAAACATTAAAGTTAAATGACATAATGTAGCCGGGCTCGGTGGCTCAGCCTGCAATCTCGCACTTTGGGAGGCTGAGGTGAGTGGATTGTCTGAGCCCGTGGCTTCGAGACCCGCCTGGGCAAGTGAGACCTCATCTCTACAATAAATCAAAAAATGAGCCAGGTGTGGTAGCGCATGCCTGCAGTTCCAGCTACTTGGAAGGCTGAGGCAGAAGGATCATCGAGCCCAGCAGGTGGAGGCTGCAGTGGCCGGGAGCGGCCAATGCACTCCGGTCTGGGCGATAGAGTGAGACTCCAACTCAAAAAAAAACAAAAACAAAACAAACAAACAAAAAAGACATAATGTGTTAATAGTGGCAAATTAGGTAAATAAATATCACTAAATATAGATGCAAAAACCTGCTAAAATACCTAGGTAAATAAATATCACTAAATATAGATGCAAAAACCTGCTAAAATACCTAAAATTATTAAAGAGAATTGGAGTTCAGCTAAGTAACTTACAATATGTCTAAAAATTTGTCTGAAACAGAATGAGGCCGGGTGCGGTGGCTCAAGCCTATAATCCCAGCACTTTGGGAGGCCGAGATAAAAGAATTACCTGAGCCCATGGGTTCAAGACCAGCCTGGGCAACATGGCGAGACCTCATCTCTACAATAAATCAAAAAAATTAGCCGGGTGTGGTAGCACGCATCTGTAGTTCCCGCTACTTGGCAGGCTGAGGCGGAAGGATTGCCTGACCCAGCAGGTTGAGGCTGTGGTGGCTGGGAGTGTGCCACTGTACTCCAGCCTGGGAGACAGAGTGAGACTCCAACTCAAGAAAATAAATAAAACAGAATGAAAATACATCAATTTAATTATCTCCTAATAATTTATGCTTCCAATATTCCTTCATATCAGGAACATCAACACGTTTCTGATGTCTGTCTTGTACCATGGAGAAAAATTAAAGTGCATTCAAGAATACTCTGAGAAGTAAAGAAGTGAAGGAGCTTCAAAGTTCAATGGAAAGTGTTTTAAAATAATTTTTAAAGTTATAACCATACACATATTATGTTCCCACAAGTCTTAACTTGGGAATCTGGGTTCTAGTGTCCTATCTTTGTCATTAGTTGTATGATCATAGGAAAATCACTTGGTACTCATCAGTGTTAAAATTTTATGATTGCATGAGAAATTCTGAAGAGCAAAGAAGAAACATTCACACATAAAAACTGTCTTCACAGCTTTTTTTTTCTCAAATAGCCAGTCCTATGAACCACTTTTGGTATTCCCCATGATCTAGACCACTCTCAAATGAGAAACTACTGATCCTAAGATTCCTAAGCAAAGCACATAACCAAACATAATTCTTTTTGTTTTGGAGTTAGAGTCTCACTCTGTTGCCCAGACTGGAGTGCAGTGGCATGCTCCTGGCCACTGCAGCCTCGACCTGCTGGGCTCCAGTGATCCTTCTGCCTCAGTCTTCCAAGTAGCTGGAATTACAGGTGTGCGATACCACGCCTGGCTAATTTTTTGATTTACTGTAGAGATGAGGTTTCAAAAAGTTGCCCAGGCGGGTCTCGAACCTGTGGACTCAGGCAATTCACTCACCTCGGCCTGCCAAAGTGCTGGGATTAAGGCTGAGCCACCGAGCCCGGTCAAACATAATTCTTTACTAAGCAATATGAGAAACTTTATAACTCTGAAACCTGTGACTATTCTATATGAATGATTTTATGCAAAGTAAGCATTGAATTCACAATTCTAACAATGAATTGTATTATTTTCACTCGTTATTTTATTGAGTTTATAGAGACTATTAATCCTTAAGCACCCTTATAGCAAAGTCAAATGAAAGCTGAAAGTTTAAGTGGAAACCAACTGAAAATTAACAGAGTACTGATCTGAGAAAATAAAAATGCAAAGCACTAAACACAAATGGCAATAAAAACTGTATTTATCTCAGTCATTCCAGCACTTAGAATAATAAAATCAAATAATCGCAACAAGGAAAAAATTTAAGCTAGGTTTTATGTCAAGAAATTATAACAGGCCATAAAGCAACTCATTCCTTGGATAAATATAATATAATAAATGAATATAATGAAAAATAGTTCTGAGTTGGGATGCCAAATAAAACTGATTTAGAGATATGCTTAGAAACCCTGGAAGACTTGTTTCCCAACAATTTAATTTTGTATAATTTTTCCTCAAAAGCATGTTTCTGAAATTTTCCAGCAAAAAAGCATTAGAGTTTAGCAACATAATCAAATAAAAAAATACTATGTAAATACATGTACTTATATCTATATTTTTAATTTTTTAAAACTTCAGTTCTCTATAGCCTGCCCCCACCTGCCTCACATGCATCTATTTAATAGTGATTTTAGTGCTCTAAGGTTGTTAAAATAACTGGTGAGAAATATTATTTCATTTATTTGACCTGCTCATTCACAACAGTATTATTAGGAAGTGGTATAGCCTAATGATTAAATAAGTAAAATACATAATTTTATCTACTTTGGAAAGCAGTGCTTCTAAAGACCTGAAGGAGAAAAACAGACATGGGTTCAAAACCTGTTTGTCCATTTGCTAGGTAACCTTGGTTAAACCACTGAATCCATCTAAGTTAATACCAAATAGAGGTATTGAAAGAATTAAAAGACAGAGTATGTAATGCACATAATAGAAACTGACACAAAGTAATCATAACATTATCATCATCATCATCAAGAAGGTCTTAAAGTTAAACTACATTGAGTGTAAGAATGTATGTATATACCTTAAAAACAGAGGCACACAAGGTGCAGTGGCTCAAGCCTTTAATCTGAGCACTTTGTGAGGCTGAGGCAGGACTACTTGAGCCTAGGAGTTCAAAACCTGCCTGGGCAAAATAGTGAGAACTCATCTCTAAAAAAGATCAAGAAATTAACTGGGTACGGTAGTGCATTCCTGTAGTCCCAGCCACTTATCAGGAGGCTGAAGCAGAAGGACTGCCTGAGCCCAGGAGGTTGAAGCTCTGGTGAGCCATGATGCTGCCACTACACTTTAGCCTGGGTGATACAGTGAGACTGACTTACAACAACAACAACAAAAAACCCAAAGCCAAAAACAGGGGCAAAAGTTATAGTATCCGGGTCTGCTGAGGCAGAAATGTTGTTAAAATCACAACTCATATGAACTCATTTGTAAAACTAAGAAAAAAGAAACTGTTCAAATTGATTAAATTACTTAAACAAAGGAGAATTGATTATATGACAGTAAAACTCAGATGGCTATACAACTTAAGACTCTACACTGCTTAGTTATAATTCTTACAGTGATTTTTGACTGAATGTGATACATCATTTATTCATGATTATAACTACAATTAAAGAGTCAATACTAGCATTAGATAACAAATTATATACTTACGCAGAGTCTGAGATAATATTAATTACACAAAACATTAAGTGAGCAATAAGTACTGTCCAAAAGTACACGTAGGCTCTACCAATTTAGAGATCAGAGATTGCCTTCATTTCAGTGGTGAATGTAAGCAGAAATAGAAAAACAATGTCTCTTACCTATCTTCCTGTGAGTTCTTTCCAGATCGCCTCTTATTTTTAGCTTCTCGGGGAGATGATCGAATTTTCTTAGTGGGAGGGCCTGAATCTCTTCCGTAATCTTCATCTAAACAAAGTGTTTTTCAAATTCAATTAACTGTATTATGATTTTTACATGTTTAAATCACCGCTATGTTAACTGACATAATTATATCTCATGCTGTTTAAATGGTAAGGGGGCAGGATTTCCAATGTAGTTTCTTCTATTTTTAAAAGGTAAATTATTTCCCTACCACCTTAACTCCATTTTTGCATATTACCCACTAGTCCTCATGTATACATGTTTCATACAGATATAGCTAAATAAATCTCATCATTTTATATCTTACCCTTTTGATTTCAACATCTTCATACTTACTTGAAAATTATATCATAATCTGATTATGTTATGAGCATTTTAGAAAGTAAAGAACCTACAATTCTGTAAATGCTAACACAATTATTGTTGTCAAGCAAATTACTTTTAAACTAAAGTATATTAAAATATAACATACTTTGGTACTTGAAAAAAATACCTCCAACTTCAAAAAAAAAAAAAAGGGCAAACCCCTCTGGTCCCCTCCCACTCTGGAAGTTTTTCTGACCTCTCAATAAATCCTGCTTCTCAACTTAAAAACAACAACAAAAAAAACTAAAGAAAAAGACCCCGAGCCGGGCTCGGTGGCTCAGCCTTGTAATCCCGTGCCTTTGGGAGGCTGAGGTGAGTGGACTGCCTGAGCCCACGGGTTCGAGACCCGCCTGGGCAGCAAGACCTCATCTCTACAATAAATCAAAAAAATAAGCCGGGCGTGGTAGCGCGCGCTGGTAATTCCGGCTACTTGGAAGGCTGAGGCGGAAGGATCGCAGGGGTCCAGCAGGCAAGGCAGCGGTGGCTGGGAGCGGCCACTGCACTCCAGTCTGGGCGACTGAGTAAGACTTCAACTCAAAAAAATAAAACAACAAAAAAACCCCGATGAGTTCAAAAATTGTTTTGAGCTGTGGAAAAAGTGGCTTGATAGGTTACCATTAACAACAATTTTTCAGATACTTTCTTTTTTTTTTTTTGAGTTGAGGTCATACTGTCACCCAGGTTGGAGTGCAGTGGCACAATCATGGCTCACTGCCACTTTGACCTCCTGGGCTCAAGCGATCCTCCTGCCTCAGCTTCCTGAGTAGCTGGAACTACAGGCCTGCACCACCACACCTGGCTAAATTTTTTACTTTTCGTAGAAATGAGGCCTCACTATGTTTTCAAGACTGGTTTTGAACTCCTGGGCTCAGGTAATCCTCACAAAGTTGGCCTCACAAAGTTGGCTTCACAAAGTTCTGGAATCACAGGCATGAGCCATACAGCACCCAGCCCAAATAACTTTTTTTTTTGAGTCAGAGTCTCACTCTTGCCCAGGATGGAATGCAGTGGCATGCTCATGGTCACCCCAGTGCCTACCCGCTGGGCTCAGGCGATCCTTTCAAATGGCCAGAACTATAGGCATGTACTATTACGCCCAGCTAATTTTTTGATATATTGTAGAGACAAGGTCTCACCAAGTTGCCCAGGCTGGTCTTGAACCCCTGAGCTCAGGCAATCCTCTTGCCTTGGCCTCCCAAAGTGCTAGAACTACAAACTTGAACACTGCACCTGGCCCCAGATGACTTTTTTTTTTTTTGAGTTGGAGTTTCACTGTCACCCACGCTGGAGTGCAGTGACACACTCACTCACGGCCAATCCAGCACTGAACTGCAGGGCTCAGGTGATCCTTCCACCTCAGCCTTCCATGTAGCCAGAACTACAGGCACGCGCTACTGCAGCTGGCTAATTTTTGTTTTATTGTTAAGATGAGATCTCGCCAAGTTTCCTAGGCTGGTCTCGAACCTGCAGCTCAGGCAATCCACCAGCCTCAGCCTCCCAAAGTACTGGGATTATAGGCTGTGTCACCGAGCCTGGCTCCAGATAACTTTTAATAACACAACAAAGATACTCATAAGCAAGGGTGGGATAGGAACAGAATCCAAAACCTTATAATAGTTTTACTTTTTATTTATTCCTTCTTTATTATTTTATTTTTATTTTATTAATTTTTTTTTTTTTTGAGTTGGAGTCTCACTCTGTCGCCCAGACTGGAGTGCAGTGGCCACTCCCGGCTACCACAGCCTCGACCTGCTGGGCTCTGGCGATCCTTCCGCCTCAGCCTTCCAAGTAGCTGGACTTACAGGCAAGCGCAACCATGCCCCGCTGATTTTTTGATTTGTTGTAGAGATGAGGTGTTGCTGCCCAGGCGGGTCTCGAACCCTCGGGCAATTCACTCACCTCAGTCTCCCAAAGGCGTGGGATTACAGGTTATTTTTTTAATTTTTAATTTTTTTTTTTTTTGAGTTGGAGTCTCACTCTGTCACCCAGGCTAGAGTGTAGTGGCACGCTTCCAGCCACCGCAGCCTCGACCTGCTGGGCTCCGGCGATCCTTCCGCCTCAGCCTTCCAAGGACTGGAACTACAGGCATGCGCTACCACGCCTGGCTCATTTTTTGATTTATTGTAGAGATGAGGTCTCGCCAAGTTGCCCAGGCGGGTCTCGAACCCGTGGGCTCAGGCAATCCACTAACCTCAGCCTCCCAAAGGCGCGGGATTACAGGCTGAGCCACTGAGCCTGGCTTAATTTTTTGATTTATTGTAGAGATGAGGTCTCGCCAAGTTGCCCAGGTGGGTCTCGAACCTGCGGACTCAGGCAATCCACTCACTTTAGCCTCCCAAGGTGTGGGATTACAGGCTGAGCCACCGAGCATGGTTCCTTCTTTATTATTTTAAAGACGGTACAATCCAGGGTTAGGCATACAAACGTTGATTATGCAGGTGTTGATGAGGTGTGTCCCTCCCTCCCCTAGCAGTTTTCTTCAACTGCCAATTCCATCACCCCCCCCACCCAGCAATTTCTCACTACTGCTAATCCCTTTCTTAGTTTTACTTTTTTATAAGGAAAAAAAGATAAAAGGCTAGGAGTTAACAAAAAAGTTAAAATGGCTATTTGCCGGCTAAGGGACCTTGAATAGTATCTCTGCCTCAGTTTCCTTAAATACAAAATGCTAATAATAATAGTACACCCCATATTAACAGGACTGTTCTAAAGAATAAATTAAAAGCAAACATCTGGAACAATTCCTGGCATGTAGCAAGCATTTAGTAAGTGTCAGTGTTACCTCTGGGAGGTAGGATTTTCATATTTACTCTTTTAATTTTATTTCTATATCTTTCTGTATTTTCTTGTTTTTTTAATTTTTTTTTTTTTGGTGGATGTTTTCTTTCTTCACTTTCTAAGTTCCAAAGGACACATCTTATCTTTAAAAATAAAAATTAGCTGGGTTTGGTGGCTCAGCCTGTAATCCCACGCTTTGGGAGGCTGAGGTGAGTGGATTGCCTGAGCCTGTGGGTTCGAGACCCGCCTGGGCAACTTGGCGAGACCTCATCTCTATAATAAAAATTAAAAAATTAGCTGGTCGTGGTAGTGTGCGCCTGTAGTTCCAGCTACTTGGAAGGCTGAGGCGGAAGGATCGCCGGAGTTCAGCAGGTCGAGGCTGCGGTGGCCTAGAGCGGCCACTGCACTCCAGTCTGGGCGACCGAGTGAGACTCCAACTCAAAAAAAAAAAAAAAAAAAAAAAAGAGAGACACCACTCATTCTTTAATGAAATCAGCTCCCAAATCAAAGTTGTTTCATAAAAACACTTTCATCTTACTTGCTTTATTATACAAAAACAACACCCTCTAACACAAGGTACAATTTCTACTGTGATAATAGCAGAGGTATTTTAAGCAGTAAACACTGTATCAGAATTACTGGACATTTAAACTTTGGACTCCAAAATCAGGTTAAAAAAATTGTTTAAGTGTTTACTATTAATGACTTACTAAGGAAAAGTTAAAATCCATGTAAGTTCAACTTTTGCTTTGGTTGACAAAGATCATGACATAATTTGGACAACTACTCTAAAAATAAAACTTGTTTCAAAAGCACGATAAAAAGTACATAAGCTGGCAAACCTCCACTGGTCAGTCCAACTTACAATTTGTTGAAACCACAGAACTTACCTGCATCATCAGACTCCTGAAACTGTGAGTAATCAACAACCTTCCTATTTCTGTAAAAAAAGAGACTCCAATTAAAATCATAAAAACACAGGACTTTTCTAAGACATCAAAATACACATTTCTATTTCATAAACAGAACTGAACTAGCTCTTTGAAAATTATTTAACAGCTTCCACTTCAACCAAAGTACTTCATGTTTTGTTACATGAAAGCAGAGGTTAAACCAAAAGTACGTCAAACTTCAATTCTCATGCTGCTCATCTCAGTGATAGCTCAAATATCATTCTTTTCCACAAAACAATCTCCCACTTCTCAAACATACATACATAAAACAGGCAAAAGGGCCAAATTGCCACATACCTATATATTCATTATACAGAGAGATACCACATTTATAAGCCAAAATTGTAAATGTTATTTTACTCTGTTATACATTTACACATGTATAGTTGATAAACAAGGTTATTACTAAGCTTTTTCCAAGGTTAAAGCAATTTTTAGCTATAATACAGTTACATTACAATGAAAAAAAGTTATGGTAACACTAACTTAAGCCTTACACAGAAGGGGAAGGAAAAAATAAAAATCACTGGTCCAGTCAAAAGATGTTTTTATCACAGAATAAATAATTTCTAGAAATATAAAAGTTTCTCAAATTTATGGACCTGACTTTTTTAAAAAACTTGTTTTTCTTTTCTTTCTTTCTTTTTACTTTTTCAGAGTTGGTTTATCACCAGCACTTCAAAACCAGACCTAGGGAAAGAACTAGGCCTGGGGACACATGCAAGGCCTTAATATAGTGAATGCTTGATTTATTGTAGAGATGAGGTCTCACCAAGTTGCCCAGGCAGTCCTCTTGCCTCAGTCTCCCAAAGTGCTGGGATTACAGGCTGAGCCACAGCACCTGGCCTTGTTTTTATTTTTGAGTCGGAGTCTCACTCTGTTGCCTAGGCTGGAGTGCAGTGGCATGCTCACAGCTGTGGCAGCCTCAATCTGCTGGGTTCAGGTGATCTTTTCACCTCAGCCTTCCAAGTAGCAGGAACCACAGGAGTGCACCACCATGACCAGCTAATTTTATTTTGATTTATTGTAGAGGAGGTCTTGCCAAATTGCCCAGGCTGGTCTCAATCCCTGGAGTCAGGCAATCCTCTCACCTCGGCCTCCCAAAATGCTGGAATTACAGGCATGAGTCACTGAGCCCGACCTTAATATAGTGAATGTTTAGCCTGTCCTGACTACAAAACCAGAACGGCGAAAATATTTGCAGTATCTTGACTCTAAATGATTTTAAGTCCTCCTTACCAAGTAAGGCATCTTTTAACATCTTGAACAAATCTTAATTTCTATTTTCCTACTTTGTAGTCTAAATCTGGAAGTTTAATATTCCTCCTCCTCTCTATATATTCATACACAGAGGGTGCCAAAAAAGTATACATTTTAAGAAAGGAAAAAACTGTATTGAAACTGTAATACTCGATATATACCGATAATAAAAGATGAAAACAAGTCACACTTCACTTCTGCAATTGTAAGGGGCACTCAAACGGGTTATCATCAGCATCCAGACACTTCTGATTACAACGAACATCTCTTAAAATGTGTATACTCTTCCGGCTAGGCTCAGTGGCTCAGCCTGAGCCCACAGATTTGAGATAGCCCGGCAACTTGACAAGACTTCATCTCTACTACAAATAAAAAAATTAGCCAGGTGTGGTAGCGCGCGCCTGTAGGTCCAAGTACTTGGAAGGCTGAGGCGGAAGGATTGCCACTGGAGCTTAGCAGGTTGACGCTGGGGTGGCAGAGCCTGGGCAACAGAGTGAGACTCCAGCTCAAAATAAATAAATAAATAAATAAAACAAAATAAAAGTGTATACTTTTTGCTACCCCCAGTATATATATAAGCTCCTATGGAGGTATCCAAAGAGACTAGCTTGCAAGAGCACCTTAGATAAAAAATGCACTGTAGGGCTGGGCATAGTGGCTCGTGCCTATAATCCCAGCACTTTGAAAGTATGAAATGGGAGCACTGCTTGAGCTGACAAGTTCAAGACCAGCCTGGGCAATATAGTGAGATCTTGTCTCTACAAAACAAAAAACAAACAAAAAAACCTCCACAAGAAATTAGTTGGGCATGGTGGTGACAGCCTGTAGTTTCAGTTACTTGGGAGGCTGAGGTTGGAGGATCACTTAAACCCAGGAGTTCGAGGCTGCAGTAAGCTGTGGATCATGGCACTGTGTAGCCTAGGCAACAGTGAGACTCTGACTCAAAACAAAACAAAACAAAACAAAACAAAACAAAACAAACCACTTAACTGTTGGCCTAAGTGGATACAAACAAACTGAAAAGATTAAGAGAAATACATGTCTCCAACTACACTTAAAACATGAACAGAAGGATACTCCTGGTTGTATAGATTAAGATGCCATTGGGCAACTTGGCGAGACCTCATCTCTACAATAAATCAAAAAATGAGCCGGGTGTGGTAGCGCGGGCCTGTAGTTCCAGTTACTTGGAAGGCTGCTGTA